CATGAGCATTTGCCTTGTTGCTGTTGCATGCCCTGCCGCAAAAGAACATTTGGACGAACGGTGTCTCACGACCTCAAAAAAAGCGCTTCCAAGAAACTCGACGAGCGGAGTCCTTCGTCCAAACGACGGCGGAGCCTGGTTCCGACAGGTTGTGCGGGAGCTTTTGAAAAGGCACTGGTGCTTTCTTGCCATCCCATTAGGCACCGGGCCACACTGCTTCCGCTTCAAGGCTTCGGCACGCTGCCTCAGCCTGACGTCCACAAGCCCTGGAAGCCCTCTTGTCAACATCTGACAGCAACAACAACCAGCACCACGCATGACAAAGAGTCGGAAAGAAGCCTATCGTTGAGCAGCTGAGGTAGACCTAGAAACAACTCCTCAGCAGCATCGCCTCATCTGCCTCCCTCTGCAGGGATCGCCGCAATCCTCGCTCGTGCGCCTCGGCAGAAGCGGAGATGCATAGGAGCCACGTCCAAACCCACCGAAAAAAGTACAAATAAAAAGTTAAGAATGACCGTTACAACAATGTTAAAAAGAATGCTTCATAGACTCGTCAGGAAAAGGACATAAGCAGTAAGGATTCGAACACGAGACGGGCCCCTGGCCAGCTGCTTCTGCAGAAGGTCTCTCTCCTCCTGGGCACCAGAACAGCAACGAAGGAACACAACACCCCCCCCCCGGCCCCCAACCCCAGAAAACCGCACCTGACGCCAAGCTCCGAGCCATCAGCATCGCGCACCAGTCGACCAACCTTTCGACCTGGCAAGCGGAAGAGGCATTGCTGTCCGCAAGGCTTTGGATTGTTCGCTTTAACTCCTCTGCTGTGCTCCTATCATTTCAGGACTTAAGGCCCTTGAGGCTTGAGGATCTGAAGGGTTTCTGGCCAGTCAGGAGAACCCGGAGCCCGATATTCCTTCGACCTCGCCAAGCTTAACGGAGCACACAGCCCACAGCCGACAAGACCCGCAGGCCGCGGCGTGAAACCGGGTTTCAGGGGATCTCGACAATTCGTCGACCTCGCAGTTCGATCGACCAAGCAGACTGCGCTTGGAAGTCCCAAATGAAGTCTGAAGCCGAGAGCGTGGCAAACTTCTCCTCGGGCCTCTTTTCGGGCCCAAACCACCCGCCTTCGATGTCGCAGCCAGAAAAAAGCCAGGAACAACTCTGCGCTCGCGCCCGGCTAACTAACATCTGTACTGCGCCATTCTGTACCTGAGGCCGCCACTGAAAAGATCTGCGAGCATCGGCCAGGGTTCAAAGGGGAAGAAATGCTCGCCAGCGAGGTCTCCCAAACTACTCTAACTCACACAGCTGGGCCCAGCAGCTGCCAAGCATGTTTAGGCCCTTGGCACTTCCAACATGCCCGAGTTCGTGCTTTCAAAGCAAGGGCGTCTTGAGGCGGCGACCACAGCCTGCATGTGTAGTTTTGGTTTCTTCCAGCTTCCCCTAAGCCCCCACCTGCTGCATCCGTGGCTGGCACCACAAAAATATGTGAGCAACTTTTCCTTCCACCCCTTCCCCCGACAGCTGGCAGCTTGAAGCAAGTGTCGGATCGCATGTGGCAGCTTCCTCTCAGAGCCACCAGGCTTCATCTGCGTGCTGGTGATGTTCTCTCGACAAACCGCCGGGGAGGCAAAATCCAGGTCCTGCTCCGATCTCAAGGACGACCCGCTGCTACACTCATGACATCAGGCTTTCTGGAGGCTGTGTGTGGCCTCTGACGCCCATGCCCATGATGCTCTCACTGACGCTCGCTCCATGGGAAGCCACACCACTTCAACGGCTGCCCGCTCGGCACCGGACTTTTTTTTGCAATGGACGTGCCTGTCTCCCTTGACACCATGGTCCCGCGCAACCATTGAAACGTGAGACGACCAACCCTCATCGTCCCAGGTGAAACCAAAGAGCCGCAAGCGGATGTATGCAACCATAATGCACTGTAACTAAGCACTGTTTCTTCTCAAGGCGTTGAGGCCGTATCTGAGGGGCTCAAGTGCAACGCAGCACCTACAAGCCCAGTACACCACGTTTAGCTTGCAGGCTGGAGTGAGATCAACTGGCCTCCCTAACCCCGCACTCCTGCCGGCAATGCGGCGATGGATGCCAGTTGCCTGGGACCAAGCCGGCGGACCGAGACCATGTCGTTGAAAGTGTGTGGCAATCTGGTTCCAAAAAAACGGTCCACCACGCCTCAGCCCTGATAACATCCCAGTTAGAGTTGCATTTCGGCACGGTGTTATGTCCAAACGGCTCGATATTGCCTGCGTTGCCGACTGTGCTACTTCCACTTCTACCTCTACCTCTACCTTTCTACTTCTACCTCTACCTCTACTTCTACTTCCACTTCCACTTCTGGCAACAGAGGCCTGACGTGTCTACGAACCGTATTGCTTCGCACGCATGGTAAGTCCCCATCGACACCTCAACCGACCCTCTGACTTCGCAAAGTAAAGACCTACACCATCGACAGTTCCTGTACTTCTCAGGGCCCGTGCTACATGAGCGAGCAGGAGCACCAATCAGAGGCGCCTCTGCATGTGAACAAAGACACGAAAGACACGGTTGCTTTGGGAAGGCTCGGATGCCTGCAGTGCCAAGCGGTGGAACCCAAGATCCTGCGGCCCAAGCACTGCACGCGACGTCGCACAAGACTTTCTTCACAAGACTGCGCCTCTGGATTTGGAGGGAGCCGCGGCCTCGCCCTGATGCCCAGATCCTCTGTGCAAACCCACTTGTGCACATGCGGAAGAATGAGCCGGTATGACAAGGGTCAGCCATGTTTCTTGCTGTCCCTCCCTCCAAACACCGCTTGGTATGATGGCCTGCTGAGCAATGGGTCCATGCTCGTCGGCTGGGCACGCTACCCGTGCCTGAGAACAGCAGCATCTCAGAGACGAACGGCTACGCGGCTGAGAAACGGCCCCCGTGCCAAGGAGCCCACCAGGAACGAAGCTGTGCGCATCGCCATCCTGGCATGCGATTTGCTGGATTTTGCTGGTGGCGGACATCCACCCTTCCTGTGCCGACATGGAAAGGGATCTGCACAGGCTCCCGCTCGACGCGCCTCAACTCTCCGCCTTTTCGGACTTAGCCTCCCAGCAAGTCTAGGGGTCGAACGCCATCTGAGGCTGCATTCGCATTCACAATCATTCACATAGCTTCTGGGGCTCCAGCTGCGACATGCCGGTGTGGAACGAGGCAATGGTGATACTCTTATGGGCTGCTGTGGCTGAATGTCATGCTGGTTCAAAGTGCTCGTACATCGTAGGTCTGTCGAAAAAGTGCTGCAAAGTGCTGTCGACTCTGAAAACTGAATGTCGGAGAACTGTACACATCCTTTTGCTGGGACAAATCATGACAAATCGGATACATGATGCCCTCGCAGGCTGAGGGCCTTCTTTGCACTGAATGTCCTGGGAGCACGGCAAAAGCGCGGACAAGAACTGGCGGTTTCAGCTCAGCTGCCTGTGGTCCCGTCTCCCGTCTCAAACCTTGTACCGTCCGAGACAAAGCATCTCACGCAACACAGCCAAAAAAAAAATGCTTCTGTGGACGTCACCATCTGAAAAACCCACTGGGACCTCTGGGACCTCTGTCTGGAAAACCCTTGTCTGGGACCTGGTACGCATAAAGAGCGGGCCCCAAGGAGAAATCCGGAGCCGGAAGATTCTTCAAAGGAGAGTTTTGCATGCAAAAACAACTCCAAACTTCTCCTTTCCTTTCCTTTCCTGCAGGCTGTCTCACTTCACGAAAAGGGTTCACGCCTTGGCTCTCTCCTTTTCACTTCATGACGACATGGCTGTCCTGAGCATTTGGTGCTAGATCCACAACCGCGTATTGCAACCTCTCATCGCCATTCACCGCCAAGAAACCCAAAAGCACCCAAGCCAACACACCGCGATCACCTCACCATGGCTAAACTCTGAATGCCCGCACCGCTCGTATAGCACCAATCAGGACAGATATACCCAAATCCAAATGCGCAAAAGCCATGCACCGTACGCAGCACCACAACACTGTCTCGCGCTCCTGTCTGGGAGGTCTCACAAGAACACGCGCAGCAGTGGGCGCCCACGCCTACAACACAATTTCTGGCACCAGAAAGAGCAATGCGCTGCACACCTGCGTGCAAGATGCTGCAAGATCTCGCCAAAGGTACTGTATCAAGACACATCCGTCGCGACAGTTTGGAGCACTTCTTGAACAAACTCAGAGAACACTGTTGAACAAAGAGTTGGACAAGGTGTCTGCACATGTGTGCATATGTCTGCATATGTCTCATATGTCTGCATATGTCTGCATGGTCTTGCCAAGTCCCCAGTCCCAGCCCCTGCCCCTTTCCGACATGCACCCGATGCACCCTCCCGCGAGCAAGACCTTCAGGGGGGCCCTTTTGCCCACAGCCGTGCTACCAATCATTGCGGCACGAATAGAGTCTCCAGGGACGTGTCATGAACCTCGCTCGGGTTGCTTACCAGATACCTTTAAGAATCGTTGCCTAAACAAACCGTTTCTGACACACGTTTCTGACACAACAGGACAGTTGTTGACGAGAATCTGCGTGGTTCTTGTGCTGGGATTCCTAAGGGGGGGCGGGGGTTGTCTGCGCTTGTGTACGTGTTTGAACTGATCCACCTGGCTGTGCGCCTTCTGCACACCTCCCTCACTTGTATTTCTCAGTTTGCTCGTGTCAGATGCTGGGCTTCCTGACCAGGTCAGAGCAGGTCAGTCAGAAGCTTCTGGTGCTTCCAGTGTTGACTTCACCCGCAGATTCCCCCAGCTCTCCTACATCGCGCTTGCTTAGGTGGGGCAATGGCAGTTAGTGGTGGCCGTGGGTCCTACATGAAAAGCGCCTGCGCTTGTGCCATGGCGCGTGCTTGCACAAACAGCACGGCGCAAAAGAGGTTCATCTATTTGTTGCAAGTCTTTTTTCGGGGGGCCTAACTTTGGGATTTGGCCATTCTTTGTGGCCTTCCCTTTGCGCACACGAGCCTCTTTTCTCACTGGCAGGACTCCATGCGGAAGAATTCCGGCACCAGCACGCCATGCCGCTTCACTCTGCATTGGCAACAAGGGTTGCACAGGAAACAGAAACCGCACTTGAAGGGAGCACTCTTTGGGAGGTCTGTACAATCCAGACGATGGAAGGGCTTGTCTTCAAGATTCTGTACGTCCTTCACATTTCCCACGCTCTGCTCAAAGAGGCACCGAGGAAACGGGTCCTTGGCACCTCGCTGCACGGGCCCAATCGACAACATTGCGAGAACCTCTTGGGGGGGACCCTCCATTTCAATGATGCATGCCAAAATGCGACCGCGCATTGCGCATGGCACCCTGCGTCCATCTTGAAAATGAGGTGTCGCTCCACCTCTCCGTGTCCACACACGTGCCGCTTCCCCCAACGAAGAGCTGCGAATTCACGAGCCATGAAGATGTGCGCCGGTGGTGGGACAAGTCGCTGACTGCATACAAAACAGGCTGTTGCTGAAATCTTTTGAGATCGCCCGTCTCGGGCAGTCTATCTTCAAAGGCATGCTCTGCACAGTGCTAGGGGTTGCACGCGCTGTAGAAACTCAATTGTGCAGTCATGCAGTCATGAAAACGGTGCAGATTTCGTGACCCATGTGTCGACACGAGTATTCGGCATTCAGAGACCGGACCCTGCGCACGCCTTGCACCACAAGTGTTGCGGCATGTCTGCTTTTGTGGACGCAAGCTGCTTCACCCAACAAGCCGCGCACATCAGAATCGACCGTTAAGCGGGACTGCAAATGGGCAAGGGAAGGCACCAGCAGCTGTGCAGAGAACAGGCTCAGAATGTGTTGCCGGACTCGAGTAGGATCGCCCATCTCGGGTCAATCCGAAAAGGCATGCGCTGCACACTGCTAGTGGCTGCCTGCACCCTAGACATTCAGCTGCGCAATCAACACAATCATGATCATTCAGGAAACCTACGCAGGTGGCGCGAGTCATTTGTGGACATGGGAACTCAGTATTCAGACTGGATGTATGCTTCTTTTGCCTGGTAACTGCGGGATCTCCTCTTGTGGTCCAGGTGGTGGGACAAGTCGCTGACTGGATACAAAGCAGGCTGTTGCTGAAATCTTTTGAGATCGCCCGTCTCGGGCAGTCCATCTTCAAAGGCATGCTCCGCACAGTGCCAGGGGTTGCATGCGCTGTAGACATTCAACTGTGAAGTCATGCAGTCATGAAAACGGTGCAGATTTCGGGACCCTTTGCCTGTCCATCTTCAAAGGCATAACTCGCGTTGCACGGTCACGTCATCACAAAAGCCACCCAGCTTTCATTCTTTAGCATGGACATCACAGAGAACCCTCTGAACCCTCGCTGCCCTTCCGCAGACGCTCGCCAAGCTCACACCTGGCGGGGCTGCCAGAGGGGCCCTGCAACCCCGGGGACAAGCACACCTTTCAGACTGCCACGTGCGGGTGCAGGAAAGGTGCTGCCGATGCTACAAGTCATCTGCATACAAGCCAGAGCACAAGCCCTCCGGCAGATTCACATGAGTGATCTGTGGTCTGCGGCAAGTGGCGTTGGGAAACGTCCTGCGGACACCCCAGCGGCGAAGCTCGATTGCCACGTGCACTTGCACGATGTCAACGCACACTGCGAGGGACAACGCCCGGCCAAGGCACGCCCCGGATCACAGGAACGGCAAGCGAAACCGGCGAAAGCTGGGAACGGAACATCCTGGTGCCATCGACGTCTTCGCTGCCAATGCTGAATGCACAACCACGCACAACCTCCGACTTGAGTGGTTGCAGGACTGTCACACAACAGCACGACAAACTCACACGAGCAAGCGTTTGCCGCTGGTGCTATCTCCTCACGAAGAGGCTCCGAGCCGTGAAAGGCACCCGGGAAAACGCACAGCAAGAACAGCTGAGCGTGGTGCAGTCGGAATCTTAGCTGCACGCGACGTGCACTTTCCACGAGGTTGCACGTTCCTCAGGCAAAGGACAGCGGCAGAAGCCGGCGCCATGCACGCTTGCGCGATGAAGAGGTCATGCGGCTCGCTGACGCCAGAGCCTCTGTGGCACGCGGACTATCTGCTCAAAGTGATGCCGAAGCAGCTGCATGTTTCACGCCCCCCGGGCAACGGGAGCCAAAAAACAGACCCACGGGCCGAGCGCCTCTTCTTTCGATGCTGTCCTGCTTCTCAGCAGTGAGAATGCGGCCACGTTTGCCGTAGGCGGCGGGCAGCCTAAGGCACATCACCCCTAAACCCTAAGCCCTAAAGCTTAGAAAGCCAAGAGCTAGGGCAGTATCGGCGTCCGGGTCCCAAGCCTGTGGAAGGCCCGACTTTATGCTCCGACCCTATCACCGGCGCCGCCGCCACGTGGCGGTTTATTTTGGGGCTTAGGGTGGTTCTAGGTTTAGGGATGATGAGCCCTAACGTCGTCAATGCCCTTACTGCAAGAACCTGGCAGTGTGCAAGCAACGTTTGGAGGCTGGTTTTGGCCCTCATGGCCTGGGGCCTCGTCCAAGACCCGTGGCGGAAGTGCAGAGACTCACGCGTCAATCAGCTGCAGGTCGGTCAGACAATGGATCAACAAGGGCTTGTAGTAGAGTTTGGGACCTTTAGGATGCGTTACGGGTTTCGACGCTCAGTTGGCCAGCTGATGCCACAACCTTCTTAGCGGTGGCCGGACTATCTTCAGGTGAAGCCGCACGTTGTTTCAGGTCACCTGAGCAAGTGAAACCAAGAAACACGAGCCTCTTCAGTCAGTGCCTGCCGCACAGCAGCAGCTTGCCACAACTGGTGCTGCCGGCATGCCGAAGGCCTACGCGGCCTACGCTCTCACATGCTGCCGTTGACTGCAGCGAACCTGCACACCAGCCAGGTTCGTTGTCGATGGTGCTGGGGATGGGCCGTGCCGACTGCTACAAGCTTTGGTCAGGCTCCCCGTGCCGCTAAAAGGGCTGCAGGGGGCCGGTGCGCCAGCTCCCCCGCAGACACACCCGAGCATCGTGCCATTTGCCGGCTGGCGGCCTGGAACGGATGCGGGACGTGCGGCGTGCATCCCGTGCAGGTGCCATCACCCTGACACTACGTGACAACAACGGCACTGGTCTTTGCCTCCTCAAGAACGCCAAACTACAGTGATGATCGCGGGTGGGCCCGCCTTCTCGCACTGTGCGCAGATCCAGCTTGAAACGGCTTGCGTCTGTCAGCCTGCAACGTAGCATTCGGGACGTGCCACCACGCAAGCAGCATCCCCTGCAGTTCATTCTGAGAACTCTGTATAGCCGCAGACAGCGCCGCCTTACTTTCCATCCCGTGGCTTGGTGTTCTTGGGGTGCTTGGTGCTTAGAGACTACCCAAAACACTGTGACGGGACTGCAAGTGCTCTGCCAAGCTCTTGGACATGGAGACGTCCTGCTCTTAAGGTCCCTGGCACATGTGGGACAATGTAGGACATGTAGGAAGGCTTGAGGCAGATGACTTTACAAAGAAGGAAGGACCTGTCGGTCAAAGTGCATTAAACTGAAGTTTGCCTGGTGGCAAAAGGCCAAGGTCCGCGTGACTGGGAGGTGTCGGGACCTCACTTAAGTTCGGGTGGCCGAAGCGACCCGAAGCACGACCTTGTCCATCAAAGCTTGGAGGACAACCTCCGGAATTCGGATGTTTCTGAGAGACGGCAGTGATCGCCTGCGACGCGGAGGCCCAGCCTCCGCAAGCCTTTTCTGCATGCTAAATGTGGGGATAGTCGATGGGCCAGCTTCCACGCACTTCGTGGACAACTTCGCAGACATCCCGTTGCCAATATCCTACATCTGCGCGGCCGCTGCAGACAGCACTTCAGATGCCTTGCTTGCAGACCGTGACCTGACACAAGGCGGATGTGTGGTCTCTGATCGTGCAGACCAGGCTGTGCAAAACTGCCGGCGGTGCACGCTTTGTCAGTTCGGAATCAGTCGGCCCTTCTTTCAACATTTTGCATATTCTGCACCTTTCTTTTCGCCTTCCGCCAACCCACCCCGCTTCAGGAAGACCACTGCGCGAACGGTGCCTGCATAGCTTGCTGTGTCTTTTTGAAACCCATCTCGCGTCAGTCCATCTTCAAAGGCATGCCCCCGCACTCTAACAATGGTTGTCTGGGCTGTACGTGAGCTGCACGGTCATGCCATCATGCCCGCGATCAGAACCCTGTACCTGCGCCCATCTCGCAGTGGCATTGCCAGATCGATCCATCTCCAACCTGTACGCTGTTTTGCCCAAGGGAAAGCCTCCGCAAGTCAATCCTGCGCAGGAAGGAGCCGTAGCGGACTGCGGTGATCGCCACCGCGCAAGATTCCCCACAGTTCGACACAACCGAGCATGGTACCATTTGCCAGCTGGCAGCCTGCAACGAATGCGGGACGTGCAGCTGCGTCCCGTTCAGTTGTGTCATCACCCTGACACTACGTAGATGATGTAAATTTCAGTGACCTTTGCATCTTACAACAAAGGCGTGTGCAGGCAATGTCAATCCACAACCCCTGTGGTCCCTGTTATAAACGCAGCCTGCTCCACTCCCAACGCGCTTTGCCCACGGGATGGGCCTCCGGAAGTCTATCCCGTGCGGGCGAACTGTAGTGACTGCAGTGATGATCGCCGGCGTGCCAGCTTCCCAACACTTCGCAGAGGTCCAGCTTGGAACGATTTGCCAGCTGGCAGCTTGCGATGTAGAAGATGGGACGTACCATGACGCCTGAGCGCATCCCGTACAATTGTCATGGCCCCGACTTGTTGTGCAGGCAAAAGAGCCATATGCGGGATGCATTCGCCCACAAAAACCCACCAGCGAGCTTGTCCGGTGGCACACAAGCACACCAGCAGCGCGACTGCGTCCCACAGTCTCTTTGGCAGCTCACAGGCTCATAACATTTGGGTCAGAGCTTGGGTGCAGTGTCTTGGACAGATAGCGCCGGAATCCGCTTCACGAAGAAAAGGGTCTAATTCTGCTACTCTCTCGTCTGTGCAGGCCGTGACTGCGAAACTCTAGATTACCTACTGTGGCTGCAGTTCTGTGCACTGTCCGCATGTGTCATTCATGTGATTGGGAACCTGGGATTAGCGTCGTGCAAAGGAGTGCAACACCCGTGGCTGCGACTAGGCAAACTCGGACGGGACATCGCAGACTGCGCGCTGCATCAGTCTATCAGAGTTGCCCCCTCCGCTTCCACATGTGTACGGCTTCGCCCACGTAAGGAAGCTCACCTGACGCACTCGAAACAGCTCATTGCTGATGGGGGCGCCTGGAGTTGTAAAGAATACGGCTCTGCAAGCTCATGGCCTCTGCTGCCGATGCCGGACCTGCGATCTTAGCGGCTAGCGGCTAGCGCGCCACTCATGCGGAGTATGCGCTTCGGCTGCGAGGAATGGGAGGCATGACTTCTCAGGGTCACGGGAGCTCCCTGGCAGGGGCTCCCTGGCAGGGCTTGTGAAGTTTTGAGGCGCCGCAAAGAAAAGAGACGTCCGTAAAAACCGGAGTTTGCGCAAGTGCTGATGTGGCCTTGGCGCTAATGGCAAGGGCACGGTCTGTCGTGCCTTGCATGAGGATGGGAGGTGTCTGAAGGACTCGCAATCAGCCCTTCGGGTCGAGGCTGAACCACATCCTTGGTGGCCGCTTGGTGGCCTGCCAACACAGTAAGACGCGCGCTTCCGTGCAAGGAAGCTCACAGGAGGCACTCGAGACAACTCATTGCTGATGGGGATGCCTGGAGCTGTACTGAACACAGCGTATTGCCGCTGATGCCGCTGCCCCCGCTGTGACGCGTAGATGCTTGCTGGGCTTAAGATGACTACCCTGAAAACCCTCAGGGCGCCTTCTCTTTACATGCAAATACTCTGCCAAGTTCTCTTTGTTCTCTGCTGAACGTGGCGACGTCCTGCCAAGAAATCCCTTGCAAGGTTCCTGCTGGCGCGAAGGGCAAGGGCGAGGTCTGTTGTGCGTTGCATGAGGATCTGAGTTGTCTGAATGTTACATCACCCGCTCGGGTCAAGGCTGACATCTTGACGGCTGTTTGGCGCTGGCCATCGCAGACAGAGTCGATCTGAAACCCTTGGCAGCCGCGAAGTCAGGAAGGCGTAAACGGCAGCTGACGACCCGTACGTGCTCTGCCAAGTTCTCTGCTACATGTGGATATGGCTTTCCCTGGCGCTAAAGGCAAGGTCTGTTGCGTGCCTTCCTGCCATCGCAGAAAAGAGCGGCAACTGTTCCATTAGTTGCCACCCTTTCCACATGCAGGCTGCGTCGACCTCAAAGAAGCCGCCACGTCACAGGAAACATGAAGACAAATCCAAGAGCAAAGGCATGTGGTATGCCAGTTACCAGACTTGGCTAGGAATGCCGATTGCGCAGTCCACGCATTGGGTCAGAGCTGCTCAGCAGCGGTGCATACTGGCGTGTCCTTGGCTGTTCATGGCGCCCACACAGAAGCATACCTAAACAAGGCTAGACTTGCGAACACACCGGTTGACCCTGCCTGATGATCACCGGCGAAACACAAACATTTGGGAACTACGATGGATCAAAGACGCCAAGTTTCAAGGATGGCGCAAGCCACGTCACTGACGTTCAGCAGAGCCTGCCAGGGCTGATAGGCATGATAGGGTTAGGGTTCCGAGTCTCATGCTAAGTGCGGTGTGTATTAGCTGCACCCCCGCTCCCTAACACCAACCCACGAAGACATCCGAATCATCCCAATCCCACGACAGCAGGTTCATTACCAACAGAGCGATGTCAGGAAACAGGGCCATTTTGTGGCGAAGGGTTTCTGGCACGGGTTTGATGGGGGCTCGCCAGGCAATGTCAACCCACGACCCCCGTGGTCCCTGGTAAACACGGCCTTCTCCACTCCAAATGCGCTTTGCCCAGGGGATGGCCTCCGGAAGTATATCCCCTGCGCAAAATGTAGCGACTGCAGTGATGATCGCCGGCATTCCAGCTTCCCAACACTTCGCAGAACTCCAGCTTGGAACGATCCGCCAGCTGGCAGCTGGCGGCATAGAACATGGGATGCGCCATCATGCCGGCGTCTGTCCCGCGCAGTTGCCATTATGACGGGTCTGTGCGGGCGCTGCAGATAATTTGACCCCACTTTTCATTTTGGAAAGAAAGCATTGCTCCATCAGAACCGATGTGCCAGCTTCCACGCGCTTCGTGGACAACCTGAGATTGCCCATCTCGCGTCAGTTCATCTTCAGTGGCAATGCGCGGCGTCGGGCACTGCGTCGCAGAAAAAGCGGCATCAGAAACAACATGAAGAAAAATCCAAGGGGAAGGGCATGCCAGTTCCCAGACTTGGGTAGGAATGCCGATTTCGCAGTCCACGCATTGGGTCAGAGCTGCTCAGCAGCGGTGCATACTGGCGTGGAGAGGTGTGTCCTTGGCTGTTCATGGCGCGTCTGCCCACACAGAAGCATACCTAAACAAGGCTAGACTTGCGAACACACCAGTGTGAATGACAACGTGCTGGTTGACCCTGCCGGATGATCACCGGCGAAACACAAACATTTGGGGAACTACGATGGATCAAAAACGCCAAGTTTCAAGGATGGCGCAAGCCACGTCACTGACGTTCAGCAGAGCCTGCCAGGGCTGATAGGCATGATAGGGTTAGGGGTCTGAGTCTCATGCTAAGTGCGGTGTGTATTGGCTGCACCCCCGCTCCCTAACACCAACCCACGAGGACATCCGAATCATCCCAATCCCACGACAGCAGGTTCATTACCAACAGAGCGATGTCAGGAAACAGGGCCATTTCTTGGCCCCCGTGGTCCCTGGTAAACACGGCCTGCTCCACTCCAAATGCGCTTTGCCCAGGGAATGGCCTCCGGAAGTTTGTCCCCTGCGCAAAATGCAGTGACTGCAGTGATGATCGCCGGCATTCCAGCTTCCCAACACTTCGCAGACTTCCAGCTGGGAACGATTTGCCAGCTTGCAGCTTGCGGCGTAGAGCATGGGACGTGCCATCATACCAGTGTCTGTCCAGGGGAAGAACCGATGTGCCAGCTTCCACGCGCTGCGTGGACAACTTGAGATTGCCCATCTCGCGTCAGTTCATCTTCAGTGGCAATGCGCGGCGTCGAGCACTGCGTCGCAGAAAACGCGGCGTCAGAAACAACATGAAGGCCAATTCAAAGGAAAAGGCATGCCAGTGCCTGTTCTGACAACCTATACACCTCCGGCCCGAGGCCTCGGCGGATTTTCGGTACATTCGGTATTTGGTTGTGCAGTGTATGTCGGGGACGATGTGAATAGTCAGTAAGATTGCCCAGCAGATTTTAAGTCATGTTGAGTTCTTTTGTCTCAGCAGGCTTGTTCTGGGCTTGGTTCAGTTGTTTGGTGTTGTTTTGTCGTTGAGTGGCTGCTGGTTCAGGTTGCCAGCTGGTATGTATCAGCCCTTTCACCTGGGCGATGTAAGTTGTGCATCTTGCCTGCAGGTGGATCGCATGCAGTTACCAGGGATGGGTAGGAATGCCGATCTCGCAGTCAACACGATGGGTCAGAGCTGCTCAGGGCAAAGCCTCTTGTGCCTTGCATGAGGATGGGAGTTGCCTGAATGTTGAACTCACAATCGGTCGAGGCTGCACCACATCCTTGATGGCTGTTGGCTGCTGGCGTGCCCTTCAGCCATCGCAGAAAGAGCGGCAGCTGGTCCTCCTAGTTGCCACCCTTTTCACATGCAGGCTGCATCGACCTCAAAGAGACCGCCACGTCACAAGAAACATGAAGAAGAATCCAAGGGCAAAGGCATGCCGGCTACCAGACATGGCTAGGAATGCCGATATCGCAGTCAACACTTTGGGCTAGAGCTGCTCAGCAGTGTCCTTGGCTGTTCATGGCGCGTCTGCCCAAACAGACGCATACCTAACAAGCTAGACTTGCGAACGCATAAGTGTGAATTGTGAATGACAACGTGCTGGTTGACCCTGCCTGATGCTCACTGGCAAGACACAAACATTGGGAAAACTACGATGGGAGCTGCGCTGGTTAGAACCCCTACTCTGCGGTGTCCTCCGCAAGGATAATC